AAAAAAAAAAAAAGAGAGAGAGAGAGAGAAACACCCGAGAGACCAAATAGAGGCCTCACACCCTCCCCCTCTCCATGGCCGGAGGAGAGGATCCCATCCCGCATCTTGCACCGGGAGCGCCCGCTCTCAGGAGCGAGCTGGCGCGGCCGCGCAGGGGAGCATGTGTCTGTGTGTGATGTGCCTTCATGCGTCACTCTATTTATGTTGTTCGCAGCCCAACGGTAGCGGCCAGGGCAAAGTCCCGGGGTCATTTTTGCTACCGCCGCCGCCTCCAGTGGCCAGACCTGTGCCCCTTCCTATGCCTGATTCCAAATCCACCAGCACTGCCCCAGACGGCGCCGCCTTGACTCCTCCATCACCTTGTAAGTGGACGATGAAACCGAAACCACAACGCCCAGCGCCCTGGCCCGTCCAAACAGTCTCCACTGGAAAACAGAAAAGTTCCCTCCCCTGCCCGCTGCCAAAGCCCCCAACCCAGAGTGCCACGGAACCTCCCGCCCTGGACAAGAGCAGATCTGAGCCCCCCCAGCCACAGCCTCCCAGGCCTCCACTGCACCAGCCAGCACCCCACCAGCCCCCCTGCCGGCCCGCTGCTCCAAGCTGGGGCAGGCCCCTCTGGGGGGCGGGAGGGGGAGCGCAGTGGGACATGCAGGCCAGGGCTGCTGGCCGGGGTGGGAGGGGGTGGGGAGGCGCAGCCATGCCATCTTCATGCCTGATTGCTGTTTTTTTCATTTTTCGTTTTTTTGATTTTTTTGTTTTGTCGTGCCCCGCTACACCAAGAAAATCAACTGTGACCACTAGGCGATGCCACCACCATCCCCTTTTGGCCTTGCCCCCCTCACCTCCATTCCGGGGGCCCTGGGGCCTCTAAAGGTGCAGCAGGCTAGCCCCTATCCCTTCGCCTTCAGTCTCACATTTGGTTTCTCGTTGTTCCTCTTTTTTTTTTTTCCCTCCCATCCCTCTCCTTTTCCTCAATTTCTTCCCCAGGTTGGATGTTCCAAGGACAGACAAGGGAGGGGGGCCTCCGCTTACTTCATCTCTCTCTCTCTCTCTCTCTCTCTTTTTTTTTAAACCAATGACAGTGTTGTCAAAGGGAAGAGAAAAATCTGAGTTGAGAGGCCCAAGGTAGACCCGACGTGTGAAGGACAGGAGAGGTGGAGGGTGGGCAGCGTGCCGTCTGTGGGCAGGGGGTGGGCAGTGCTCTGGGCGCTCTGAGGGCTGGCAGGCCGCAGGCCAGGACTTCCGTGTCAGTAGTGGGGAGAGGCGGACCATCTCACCACTTTTCTCCGTCTTGCGCTCTGTCTCGCCTTCTTATGATTTGAGTTCTTTCCCCTCTCCATCCTCTCATCTCATCTTCCCATCTGCATCTGCCATAAGACACGAAGCCATGGTCATGGTCATTGGAGGTGGGCAGGGTGGGAGAGGGGAGGCAGGCTGCCAGGTGGATGGGGGGCATTTCTGGACAGAATCTGGCAAGCGTGGGGTCCCTGGGATGTATCTGGTGCAGGGTCGGGAGTGGGGAGCCTTCAGGCAATCTGAAACACTCCTTGCCCCTTTGGGGACACTGGAGGTGTAGGGCTCATTCCCCCCATAGGACTCCAGCAGGACAATCCAAGAAGAGCTCAGGGGTGTTTGGCCCATTTTCTTCCTCAGGCCACAGAACAGCTGGGCATCCAGGCCCTGGGGCTCTGCTAAGCCCTCTGGCCTCCTCCTCCACTTGTCCCTTGGCCCATCTCAGGCCCTGGGGACCACAGGACCATGGGACCCGGCTCATTCATCAGAGGAGGAGAATGCCTGCCAAGCCTGTGCCTCGTCACCCCTGCTTGCCACCTGAGCTAGCAGCCAGTGCCTAGGCCCCTCCCCAACCCTGTTCCATCTGCCTCAGCCCTCCATTGCGCCCCTTCAAGTTCCCCAGGCAACTGCCCGAGTCCTTGGGACTGGCCAGGGTGATAAATGGTGCAGCAACCAACTAGCTGCCCCAGGTGGAGAGGTGGCCCAGCTGAGATGGCCTTCCCCAGGCAGGGTAGGGCCAGTTGGCCAGACCTCCCACCCTCCTGGGCTCCCTTCTTTCCAGAACTGAGAGGGCCAGTGGGAATCAAGGGCACCCACTTCAGGTGCTTTGGGATGAGGGCTATCCCCAGCCCTGCCAAGTGCCTGGTTAGGGGACAGACTGGGTCTGGGGGACCACAGCTGATGCCTTTAGGGCCCCTCCCTCACCCTGGGCCACTAAGGAGGATGCCTGGCTGAGGCAGAGTGCCAGGGACAGGACAGTGCGTGCTGCTGGCAGTGAGAGGATGAGGGCCCCCTGGCCTGTCCTTCCCACCACCAGCCAAAGCCCAGAAGCATGGTCTAACCCAGTCTCTCCCTCTCCCAGAAGCCCCAAAGGGCAGTGCCCAGGCAGGCCCCACGGCCTCACGGGGTCTCTCCCTCTCTCCCCTGCTCCCCACAGCATTCGCAACGACAGGCGCCTCCTCTGCCAACCGGTTTGTCAGCATCGGACCCCGGGACGGCAACTTTCTGAACATCCCACAGCAGTCTCAGGTAGGAGGCCTAGCCCACCCAGTGGATGTGGGCACAGGGTCGGGCAGGCAGGGGTCGGGGCACCTTGTTGTTAGGTGGGGTCCTTGTGCCAATCCAGGAGAAGGAGCTGGGGCAGGGCTGGAGGGCCCAGGCCTTTGCTTGCCCAGCTGAGACTACTTCCCCAGACAGCCCCCAGGTCCCCTGGCTAATCAGCTAATTGGATAATTAGTGCTGACAGCCCTGGCCCTGGGGAAGGTGGCCAAGGACCTAAGGCTAGAGGCATTCTGGGCCAGGCTGGTGGAAGCAAAAATGGAAGCCTGAGGCCCTTTCAGGAGGACGTCTGCCTCACTGCTCTCCTCCCACTCCAGCTGGAAGACTTGACCCCCACCCTCCCCTCTCCCCTGGCTTTGGGTGGGCTGGGTGAGGGGTGGAGGAGAGACAGAGCTGGCCTGGTGGGCCATGTGCCCAGAGACTCTGGCACCAAGGGTAGGGCAGGGCCCATCGCCTCCCTGGGGGCCCCTCCTCCAAGTCCTCATGAACCCTGATAGAGGGGAAGCCAGGCTGCTGGAGCCCCCAGTTGCGCTCTCATCCACTCCCAGTTCTCACAAGGAAACATGCCCACCCCACCCCCAGACCTGTTACTGGAGGCCCTTGGACCCAGTTTTGCACAGGCATCTGTGCACAGACATACTTGTGGGCCCCCTCCTCCCTGAGAGCCTGTCCCCAAGAGGCTGGGAATAGCCCAGCGGAAGCCAGAGCCCTCAGGGCACAGAGAGGACCTGTCTCAGGGGCAGGGCAGAGGTGGCTTTTATAGTGTGGGGTTTCTTGGGAAAGAACATGCAAGTATTTTTTCTCTTTTGCACATTTTGCAAAAACACTGCCCTGTAAGCGCAGGGCCTTGCAGGCTTCCTCAGCCCCGGGAAATCCACCTCGATCCAGAGCCCCCAGCCGCTCTTGGCTCCTGCTCCTTCTGCTCAGAGGCCTGAGTCAGAGAAAGTTGATGGATGGAAGTTTTGTGTGTGTGGTTTGAGGTTTTGTTTTTTTTCCCTTTTCCTTTCCCTCTTTCAAAAAAAAAAAAAAAAGCCAACAACTTCGTCAAACTTCAAACTTCAGATCTCCCTAGTGGCAAGGAAGGGAGGGGAGGAGAACTTCAGCCCCCTTCAGCTTCCCACCCCCTTTCCCCAGAGTCACGTCTGACCCGTCTGGTTTCCAGGAGCAACCAGACATGATGTAACACCCAGATGAACTTGAACTTGGGGGTGTTGAGAAGAAAAACAATGGCTCTGAGCAGGGGCTGGAGCCAGCCCCCTCTGCTCTGTGCCAGGGAGGCTGAGAGAGCCCTGCTGGCGGAGGGCGGGAGGGGTGCCAGAGGAAGGGACAGCAGACAGGCCTCCCCTCTCGGTTCTGGCTGGCACCAGGCGGCAGGGCTCCACCGCCTCTCCCTGGGGCTCGGCTGCTCATAACTCTGACTGTGGTCACTCACTCACTCTCGGGGACCACTGCCACAAGCCCTCCCCACTAAACCTGTTTCCGCCTTCCTCTCTTTCTCTGCTCACTCTGCTTGGACTTTGGGGCCAAGTCAGAGTTTGAGACAAGTTTGGGAAATAGTTTTTCTCCTCCTTGTTCCTGAGAGGAGCCCGAGCCCCAGTCCCCGGGAGCAGGCAGGTGTGTCTGGGTTCTGGGGGCTGGGGGACCAGAGCTGGACAAGCCGAGCTGAGAGCCCTTGGGCCTGGGGACAGGCAGGCGGCTGCAGCGGGTACAGGGGATATAGTGGGGGTGGTTTCCACAGTAACCAGTGACTTTAGCTGATCTCTGGAGCACCAGATGGAGAAAGAACAATAGAATGAGGGAAGAAAAGAGAATTTTAGCAATTTTGTCATTCCCAGGGCAGCACTTTTTACTTAATTTTAATCAGTTTTGGACCTGGCTCAGGAAGCAGAGAGGGGTGAGCAGAAAAAGCCACTCCATGCTTGGCAGCAGATCACCCCCCACCGATTCCTGGGACCCATAGGAGGCACCGGGGAGCCCTGTTGGAGCTGCCTTTGTCCCTAACTCCAGGCCTGGAACCAGAGTCTCTGAGGGCCCTCCCAGTCTGAGCACTGGTGGTTGTCCCCACACTGTGCAACTCAGGAAACCCCAAAGGGGCCAGCCTGGGACCTTGACTTGGTCTGCCAAAGACAGAGGGCCCAAGCCAGCCCTCCCTGTCCTGGTTGCCCCTGCCTCCTTTCCCTTACAGGGAAGGGGAGGGGCAGGCTCACAGCCGGGGCAGTAGTCTAAGCATTCCCATGTCATCTCCCCTTAGGAAGGGGGTCCCAGAGAACACTGAGGCCAAGGCTGCAGGGAGGGGGGCTCACCCAGGCAGCCCCCCACTTCCTTGGTCCAAGACTAGAAGCCCAGGAACTAGCTGCTGACCTGACCTGGCCCTCCCCCACCCGCTCTGGGGATGCCTCAGGCCAGGGATTCCCCTGCACCTTGCCAGGCCAGGCCAGGCCACCATGAGCCTCCATTCAGCCTTAGTCAGTTGATGGGCTTAGACTGTGGGCAGGTGCCCCAGGAGGCCCACCACAGGAGAGCAGGTCTCCTCTGTGTGTGCTCTGCAGCACATGGCAGGAGGTGTGGCATCTCTGCCTGCTCCATAAATGCCAGCAGTACCCTGGGCATTGAGGTAACCCCAAATGCCATTTCCAAATGCCCTCCATTTGTACCATCCAATGGGGTAGCCACTGTCCATGTGTGGCTGTATAAATTTATATTAGGTAACTAACTAGAGAAAACTTTAGTCCCTTGGTCACACTAGCCATATTTCCAGTGCTTAGAAGCCATGGATACCTAGCAGCTACCACACTGGACAGTGCAAATAGAGAGAATGTTTCCATTGTCCCAAAAGGTTCTAGATGATCTTTGAAGCCCTTTCTAACTCTAAAATTTGATGCTCCATTTCACAGCAGACCACAGCCTGTGGTCCCAAACCAAACCCTAAGGGGCAGGGCTGGCCTACAGGTATAATGTGTGTAACTGAAACAACTGTTTTAAATATTGAAAAATTTCATATGGAACTCTGTCTGGACTTTTGGCTTCGTTTGAAAAGTTGGCTAATCTAGCTGCCTCAGGCCCTCGCCCCACATGGCAGCCTTGGCCCTTAGCCACTACAGACCCTGCCTCCCTGTGGGCATGTTACATGTAGGAGCACTGACTGAATTGCCCCCTGTATTTGAGTTCCCTGGCAGGTCAGCCACCCTCTTTTACTTGGCTTCTGTGTAGGGTTGGAGTGAGGGTAGAATGAATGAGTCAATGACCAGTGCACGCTCTGTAGTTAAGTTCTGCATGGGCCCTGCAGATCTCTGTCTGTGACCTAGATCCTGGGAGAGGCCCCAAGATGCATTTCAGGGATCCCCATTTTGCCCGAAGTTTATCACCAGGCATATACCCAGGCACTGTAGACCATAGAGGAGGACCCCCACCACCATGCCCCTTGGCCATGAGGTGGGGCAGAGGCTTTGGCTGAGGGCATTGCCAAGCAGCGCAGCCCTGGGGGTCTACCCTGAGTGTATTTTGTGAAAAGTGGCTGCCAAGGCCCATTTGTAGGAAGGTGGCGCCCCCTGCTGGCACCCTGTGGAAAGCCGTGCCCACCCCAGGGAGCCTCAGGTCCATCCCCTCGGCTTAGTGGTCCTAAGGGTAGGGGATCAAGCACAGTGGGCTACAGGGCCCCTCCCTCAAGCCTGGCTCTGCTTGGGACTGAAGCCATGTGCTGTCCCCCCCATCCCCAGCCTTTCAGCCTGTGGGACCTTGGCTGGGGTGTCCAGACAGGAATTTCTCCCTCTAATCCAAACAGATAGAAAACTCAGCAAGAAACCCCCACCCCACTCTCAAAACCCCTCTGGGGACAAAAGCTCCAGCCTGGCATCCTCCCCACCCTGCAGGATCCACACAAAAACTTAAACAATTGGAAACATAGCCAGACCCCAGGTCTGTGCCTGTGCCAGCCACAGGGGTCCCACCCGCTCGGCATGGTGCCCACAGGAAGGCCAGCTGGATGCTAGCACAGGGGGCAGAGTCCCTTGCAGGGGCAAGATTCCCATAGGAGAACTGACAGAATGGGGATGTACCTCTGCATGGGGTGTTGGTGTCCTTGGCTTTGCTGGAGCTGGGACCTCCAGGGGCCTTGGGCACAGGCCTGTAGTCAAAGGGCCAGGTGGGAGCCAGAAGGGACCGGCACCCACTGTTCTCAGTATTGCTTCCTTTTGTCCCCTTTCAGTCCTGGTTCCTCTGATAAGATCGACAAAAGAAATGACAAAATGCAAAGAAGAGGTTCCTCAAACAGGGGGAGAAGAAATTTTGAGACGTGGAAAACTCCCCCAGCCCAGCCCAGCCCAGCCCAGCCCCGCCCCACTGAAAAGCAAAAATTAGACGTCGTCAGCCACTCAGCCCTTCTCTCCTCCAGCCCAGGGACCCCTGTAGGCCCCCAGAAGCAGCCCAGTTCTCGGAGAGCCCTCAGAAGAGGTCTCGGTGGAGCTGTGCACCAGCAGCCAAGCAGAAAGAAGCATGCAAAACGGATTCTTGTCAAGTAGAGGACAGAAAGAAAGGATGCAGAACTGCCTTCCTCCCATCCCATTCAGGCCTCGTGGGGAAGGAGCACAATCCCCAGACAGAGCAACCCGCACAGTTCTGAAGGGGCCTGTCCCCCACCCTCACTCTTCCTAAGGGAACCCCACCCCACCCCCACCCAGACTTGGGCAGAGCTTCCCTAAGGGAGCTGGAAGGCCCAGCTTATAAAGATGGTGGGGGGCGGATCTCTGGGGTGCTCCCTCCAGGCTCCACCTCTCCCTCCCTGTCTGCCCCCTCATAGTCTTCTCCTTTGGCTTCTCCCCCAACTGCTCTGGACTAGGCCAGACGGTGGCCTCCATGTCCCCCAGACCTGGGGGGCAGGGGGCATCCTTGGAGCTAGTTTTACTCTTCTGGAGTGGAGGGTGTTCAGCCACCCAACCCTGAGCTGCGGGGACGTTTCCAGGGTCCCAGGCCCCTCTGTAGAGTCCATAGGAAAGAGTCACAATGCTTTCCCAGCCTAGGACAGGCCCCCTCTTCCCTCATTCTGCAGGCCCGGAGGGTCACCCTCCTGCCCTACCACAAGTGAGGGAGGTGGGCCCCAGGTTGCCCCCACACCCTGCCCTGCATGCCAGTGCCCTCGCTCCGCCCCATCAGTCCCTACCCCTGCCCCTCGCGCAGACAGCCCTGCAATGGCCGGGCCGGAGAGTGGAGCAGAAAGGGACCTGGGAGCCGAGCAAGGAGGCCGAGGCAGCCGCTGCCGCCTGGGCTCTGCCACCACCTGCGCTAGGTAGGCGCCCTGCCCACCAACTTCCAGTTCCTGTGGAGGGTGCTGGGTGTCGTCCAAAAGTGTTTTGGAGCTTTCTCTGTCTGCCCCCACTTTCCTTACCACACTGCCCCATGGCCACTTCTCTCTGGATTTCAGCTGTAATGTCTTTGCTGTTTATTTAGGGGGTGGGGCTTTCGTTGTTTGGGTCTTTTGCTGTTGAAATTGGGATCTCCCCCTCCATTTGAGCAACTTGGGAACAATCTAGTAACACCACAGGAAGTAGCTCCCCCTAGCCCCCACCTCCCCCTGGGATGGTTGGGGGCCAGACCAGAGGGTCTTCAGAAGCCTCCTGGGAGGGAGGGGAGCAAGAGCACGCCCAGCCCCCTCCAGGGTGTGACTTGGCCCCTCTGGCTTGTCTTTCTGTGCCTTACTCCCCTCCTCGCTTCGGTCCCCAGTCCTCGTGCCTCCTCTCTCTCTCTCTTCCCTTCTCAACTGTTTGAAAACACAAAGCACAGGTCAGGATCCTCTGAAAGTCAATCAACCCAACATTGCACCATAGGGGTGGGTTATGGGCTTTATTTATTGTGAATCTAGTATTTGAGGCTGTGGCCTCGGAGGGGAGGAAGGGAGGGAGCCAGCTGGGGAGGGCAGAAGGGCCCTTACCTGGGACATAGGGGCACCCCATCCCCAAGCTGGAAGCCGCAAGGTGGCTGGCCCCAGGGTGGCTTTTGTTGGAAGTTTAGCGAAGCCCCTCCCCCAGCCGCGTGCAACACTCGGGGAGGTCCGGGACTGAGAAGCAGGGGACAGGGGATCCCGTGGGATCCGGGGGGGCGTGGGGGTGGGGGTGGGGGCCGGGTGGGCCGGGCGTGACGCGCGGTCAAAGTGCAATGATTTTTCAGTTTGGTTGGCTAAACAGGGTCAGAGCTGAAAGGCGAGCGTAAGGGACCCCCTGCCCGGCCGCACGCGCCCCTTCCCTCCAAGACAATCGGGGCAGCGGGACGCCCGCCCGGGCGAGGTCGGAAGCTGCAGGCCAGCTGGGCCGGGGCGGGAACGCTCCCCGCGGGGCTGCCGGGCGGGTGGGGAGTGAGGGCCGCGCCTTTCCCAAGTGTCGTTGTGAGAGGCAGGTGAGGGGCGACAAGGGCGACAGGAGATGTGGGGACGTGTTAGAAGTGGAAAAAGACCCACAAAAAATATATATGGGGGAAATGAATTTTTTTTTCATTGAACCAAGTGCAATGCATCAGAGAGTTTTCCTATCTTTGTATGTTAAGAGATTGTTAAAAATTCTATTTTTGTTGTAATGTCCTCGCGGCCCTGGGGACGCTAAAAGAACCAGGCCTGTCCCGCCTTGCGCGGGAATAACGAAAGCTGACTGTTTTTTCCTTTTTTTTTTTCCTCCACTTTTTTTTTTAAGTCGTTTTCCTGCGTTGACGAGGATGATCTGGGGTTTTTATTTGTTTCGTCGTTCGTTCTCGGTTTCGGTGGGAGGGCTGAAGGAAACGTTCATATTTTAGAGTTAAAAAATAAAACAGCTCGACATTTAAAAAACACCAGATCAAAAAGGAAAAGGACGAGAGAAAATTATTTTTAAGATAATTCAACATAAAAACCCTGGTGCTTCTTACATTATAAAGTATGTTAAAAAAAAAAACCCCACAAACTATTATACATAAGTTTATGAATCAATTAAATATCCTGCACTTGTTAGGAACACGCATATCCCTTCTTTGTTGAGTTTAACGGAACGGGACAGCGGCGTGCGCCCGGCGGCTGGGCTGCTCTGGCCGCGGGTCTCCCCGGGCGACCCCTCCCCAGGGCTCAGCGCTCCCTCCTCGCCCCACCCCCGTCCGGGCACCGGGGCGCGGCGGGGGCGTCCCCAGCCCCTCCCCTGCAGAGGTCAATGCCAACGAATAAAAGTCCCCTCCCTCCCTCTCCGCCCCAAGCGCCCTTCTTTGAGCCAGAAGCCAACTTGACCCTCACCAGCATTAAAAGGAGCGCGCTCAGCAAGTTGGTAGTTCCTCCCCCGCCTCCCCCAGTCACCGCCACCCCTCCCGTCCCTGCCGCCGTCGCCCTCCGGGGAGCACGGGGAGGACTCGACGCTCCAGGACAGGACCAGCCACGCTGACAGGTCGATTCGCCCAGGCCCGCGCACGCACGCACGCACGCACACGGCCCCGCACACAGCCCCACCCCGCCCTGCAACCAGCCCCGTTGACTGCCTTACACACCCGCCCCCGCGCTGGCCGGCCGACCTAGTGCCTTGTTCTCACCCCCGTGCTGGCGGAGCGGACGCCGCGCTCTGGGTCCCAGAGGGGCCGGGTGGCTCAGACGACCCACCACTTCCCCACCCCGACCGTGCTGAACGGACCCCCCATACGAGAGAAAATAAAGGAGCAATAAAGTCACGAGAACTTTCGTCCCCCAATCGAGAGCCCGAGGGGCAACCCAGCCCCGCCTCTGCTCCCCCACCCACCCTCGGGGCGCCCCTCCCCCTGCAAGCCAGCCTGGGCCAGCCCCGCTTCGGCCCCTCCTGGGAGATCCGTGCGCCCGACCAGCACCAGCATCGCGGACCGCAAAGGCCGCCCGTCCCGTCAAACAAGTTTCTTCTTAGGCTAAGAAACGCAGTATATACGAGTATCTCTATATATAGTACTAATGGATTTGGTGTGCTTCCCCCTTAGCGTCCCGTCCCTCCGCTCCTCCTCCTTCAGCCTGGTCTCCCCTCTCTCTGCCCTCCACCCCCGTCTCTGCACTGAGATACATAAGAAACAAGGGTAGTTTACTGTCTGTTTTGTTTTCTGGGTTTTCAGTGTCCTAGCGGAATGCAAGTAGGCAGCCAGCCCGTTTGTTCCCTCTCCGCCCCGCCCCGCCCCCGTCACTGCGCTTCTGTTATACCATCTTTGCCTGACTCTCTCCGGCTTCTCCATTGAATGGCTAATGTGTATGTGAAATAAAGAAATAAAGAAAAACAAAAGCAAGACCGCCTCAGCCTTCGCTAACGCAACTGTGCGGGATCGGGCCGAGATCGCTGGGTTGGGGCGCCGCGTGGATTCTGCTCTCTCCAGGCACCAGGAGCACCGCGGGCGCCGTCGAGCGGAGTGGACCCGTCTCCGGAAGGGGGCGCCAGTGAGAAGGGCGAAGGCTCTCCAGCTCCTCCCCACCTCTTTCGGTACCCCAGCCCGGAAAAAAGAGGCACCCTTGAGTCCGTTGACCGCTCTGCCATGTTGGTTACCGAACCTCGCCCCCGGGAGGGGGACTCGGACAAGGCCACTTCCAGCGGGCAGTGGGTGATAAAAGGGTCTGCAGGGTCCCTGGGGGTGACGGTCGCCCTTCCAGACCCCGGGGCCATTTTCCCCGTAGGGGACGTGCTCACTAGTCCCTCGTCGTCGGGGGAGTTCTCTCCAGACCAGGCTCGCGACTCGTCCGCCTCTTCCTCGAAGGCCCTGGCCTGAGTTCCCAGTGCCCCAGGTCTCAGAGGCGACGCTGCAGAGGTCACCGCACCTCGGGGCTCACGGCCGCTTGTTGTTCTGTCTTGATGGGCCGGGCCGCCCCACTGCGGTTGCCGTCGGAGGCGCCGTCGTCCGGGCCTCGGTGCGCCAGCCGTTTGCGGGGCCCGGGAGGGGTTGGGCCTGCGGCCAGAGCAGCTGCCTGGTCGCGCAGCAGCCGCACCAGGAAGCCAATGTATTTCATGGCGAGGCGGAGCACCTCGTTCTTGCTTAGCTTCCGGTCGGGCGGGTGCGTTGGCAGCAGTTTCCTGAGCTCTGCGAAGGCGCCGTTCACGTTCTGCTGCCTCCAGCGCTCGCGGCTGTTGGTGAACACGCGCCTTGCCACCTTCTGGGGCTGGTGCCCTTGGGACAGGAGGGGCAGGGTTGGCACCAAGGCCCAGGGAGCGCCCCCTCCTGCCCTCACCACAGGCACCCAGCACCCTCGAGGGTGCCTTCAACACAGGCGATGGGTTGGGGCTTTCCCTGTCCAGGGGAACCCACCCCCACCATGCCAGTTAGCAACACCCTCCATAACAAGGACCATCAGAGGCCCAGACTGCAGACACCTGGGGCCCTCTGTATCTGACTGTCACACCTTTATATTCACGGCCTAGATTCCCTAGGGAAATGTTCCCTGCGGCTGCCAGTCTGGGGAGCTGTCCCTGTGGTTCTCATTCTGAGTGCATCCCTGTGTGTGGCTGGGTGTGCTGGTGGGCCTGAGAGGTTCTCTTGTCGTGACTGTGGTCCTGTGTGTGTCTCAGGTGGTTGTGTCAACTCCTGGCACATCTAAATGGCTGTGGTTGTGTGTGAGCGTTGCCATGGGGTTGTAGTCACATGGCTGTGTCATATGTGGCTGTGGTTCTGTGGCTGACTCTTGTGTGGCTGGGTCCTAAGTGGCTGTGGCTGTGTGGCTGTCTCCTGCGTGGTTGTGGTTCCATGCCTATCTTTTGTGTGGCTCTCTTGCATGGTGATTGTCCTGTGGCTGTTTCCTGCATGGTTGTGCATTCAAATGGAGCTGTCATTTTGTGACTTCTGGGCCATGTTATGTTTTACCCTGATTTTTTGTGGCTTGTTGGGGGGTTGTCAGGTGGAACTGGCCATGGGTGTAACCTGTGTGAGTACTGAACCCCCGTGTGGGCTGCCCTGTGTATGTCTGTGTGCACCATCAACACCTCCCCCTGTGGAAGGGTATGCAACAGACGTGGGACCCAGTAGAGATGGCCATGCACACAGAGACCCACACTCACCCTCAGCCAGCTCCAGCGCACAGTGGCTTGGTCTCCGCTTCAGCCGGCTACTAGGGAAGATGTTGAAAGGTCCTGCTGGCCCAATGTAGAGGCTGTAAGGAGTTGTGGGTCACTAATGCCTTGTGAGCAAACCCTAGCCCCAGATTCCCCCCCAGGCCTCAGCTCCCCACTGACCTGTTGAGAAAGGGGTGAGGGTGATAATGCAGGGCCAGGGGGGGTGGGGCAGCTCCCAGAGCAGACAGTTGCAGCAGTGGGGGCCGCAGGGCACTGAGCTCCGTGGTGGCCATGGCTGTCCCTGGGGGCCTAGTGTGACCCAGGCTGATGACTGGCACGCCAGGGGGCAGCCCGGGGGGTGAGGAGCCTCTGTGGCCCAGCTCCTCTGCCTTCAGGGGCCCAGGTGAGGCTGGCTTGGGGGGCAGTTCAGGTGCTGGGCTGGGGGCACACACCATCTCAGGCTTCTCAGTCATGGTGGGGCCCACCTCTGCCTGGGCCTGGGGTGGGCACATGGACCCCGAGGGGGTGCTCACCTGTGGGAGGGAAGGGGGATTAGATGCCACAAGCCCCCTTTAGCACAAGAGAGAGGGAGGGAGGGAGGGCAAGTGCAGGGGATGGCCAGTCAGTGGGCAAAAACAGGTGGGGGGCTGGGCCCAGAAACTGCCAGGACATCGGGGGTTGTCCAACACAGGGGCAGGAGGTGCCTACCCAGCTGGGCAGTGCTGAGTTCAGCAGTGCTGTCTCTGAGCTATTTGTGACCCATGAGGACCTCAGTCACCCAGACCCTGAGCAAATTTCCCTTCTTTCAGAATCCCCTCAGCTGGTGCCTGGGAGGGCAAGGCAAGGAACCAATACCAGATCCTGGGACCCTCCAGGATGTCCCAGTAATCTTCAGTCTGCTCCTGAGACCCCCTCACTGATATCATGTAACCTTGGAATCCTTCCACAATGGACCTTGGCCCTTCACTAACTCCCTCTTACCCCTGGCTGTCCGTGTGGCTCTCAGCTATGACCCCAAGGCTCCCCCGTGCTGCTTCCATGTCAAACCTACATGTCAGACTCCAGCGACTCCCCACCCCCACTGAAAAATGTCTCTCTTACTAACCCTGTGGCCCTACTGCTGATGCTATGACCCCAAATGCTGACCCCAGGATCCCCAAACACTGACCCCACTGCCTTACACACAGCCATGCCCCAGTCCTCCCTCTGACCCTGGGATCCCCCCACCCCTACCTCCATCAGCATCCCTCCCTGCACCCTGGCCTGGAATGTCCCAGCAATGCCTGGGACTCCCGGACCCTCTAGCCTTGTCTTCCCTTGTTTGGCCCTGGAGAAGCTGGCCTGGTCTCTCCCTTAGGGGATCCCTGTTGATGAATGAATGAATGAACAAATGAATGAATGCAGGCAGGCCGGGATCCCCCACTTTCAGGCTGGCTCCCCTCTTACCCCAGCGCTGGTCCTGCTGCCTGGTGAGTGTCCCGGCTCTGCCCTTCAGGGCCAGATGCAGTTCGGCTTCAGGCCAGGCTCTGCAGCCCCACTCCTGTCCTGCCTCTGTGGTCCAGGCCGCTGGGAGCCAGCCGCCCTGACCAGGCAGCGGCGTTGGCCGCGCCTCTTCCCGGGATCCCAAGGGCCACCGCAAGGGCGTGGGTCCCTCGAGGGAAAGTGAGCGCCTCCAGGCCAGCCCGCCCTCTCCCCGCCCCTGGCGGCTCAGTTTCCTCCCTCTCACCCCCCGGCGGGCCGCGACGGAGGATGCTGGGCCGGCACAGATAAGGGCCTGGCTGCCTGGCCACGCCTGATAAGGAGCCGGCCTGACCCCGGAGGAAACCAGCGGGCGGGGATCTCTGAGCGCGGGCCTCAAGGCCCCGCCCCCAGCCTCCACGGGCCGGTCTCCACTGTCACCCTTGGGGCCTCACCTTTCAGTCACCCTAGGTACCGGAGGCCCTCCCCCCTCGGGGGCCCAGTGCACAGCTGGCAGTAAGGTGCACTCAGGATGCACGAAGAGGGGAAACCGAGGCAGGGAATCAGAGGCCTCCTGTGTCACTTGGGTCTGGCTTCTGGCTTTGAGCACCCCCTGCCCAAGTGTCTGTGCTCGCGAGGGTGGAGGAGAGCGTTTTCCGGCCCTGCTGGGGGCCTCGTGACCCGGGGCCCCCTCCTTCTCTTCTCGTCACCCTGCCTGGTTCCTCTTTTTACTGGGCCCCTCCCTGCCTTCCCACCACCCACCTTCCCAGACTGTGTGGGGAGGGAAGGCAGTTCCAACAGAGGGCTCTGAGGTCCAGCCTGGGCAGGTGTTCTGGACCCCCATGCATGCTGTCCACACCACCTTTCCAGGCCCAAGAGGGTGAACGGAAGTGCCACAGCTGGGAGGGACTTCCTAGGATGCCAGGGCAATAGGCAGTCCTACCATGGCATGTCCCCCTAGGCTGAAGGATCACATGGCCTCATCTTGGTGGTCCCTGGCTTTCAGCCCACAGGGGCCGTGGGCACAGCTAGGCAGCAGTAACAAGGCCCTTCCTTATCTCCAGTGCCCTCCTACTTGAGTAGGTCATTATTTGCCCTGTGTATCTGGGGGATAGCAAGAGCCCTTAGACAGGCCTTCATCTGCCACCCAGCACCAATGCCAACACCACCCTTTCAGGATTCAGGTTTGGCTCAGGATCCCATAACCATCCTACTACCCCGGGAAACGTTAAGTACAGTGCTTATGCACGTGGGTGAACTCTGCTAGTCCTACGACTCTGGTGTGTTCGCAGGGTCCCACAGCTACCACCCTGGAGGTGGAATTCTGCCCCACGCTGCTCCGCTGCTCCATTAACTTTGCTAACCCCCCTACCCTGCGAAGAGCAGACGCAGCAGCCTGCCTGGTGTCTGTGTTCGAGGCAGAGGGGCCGCGGGGCAGGAAGCACCTGGTCTGGAGCGGATGCAAGAGGCGCCTGGTTCCGGTCCGGCTTCCGCCACCACTACCCCTGCAGTGGAGCTGGGCCAGAGAAACCAGGCGGCGGAGAATGTGGCGCGAGGCCACGTGGGGGATCGGAGGCTGGAGCACCGCCTGCGCGCGCGCCCGTATGCGGGAGCGCGCCGACGGGGAGTGGGGCCGAGGTAGGAAGCCCGGCGGGCGCGAGCTTACGGCTGCCGCCCCGTGGCCGCCTCTGGCACCTCAGGCGCCAGCCACGCGGGGCTCCGAGGCTGGCTGCCTTGTGCTGCAGAGGGTTGAACCACCACCCTGCAGGCAGATGGTCAGCTCCCACCCACCCCGGACAGACAGAACGCCCCAGACAGAAACACAGACAACTCTTCAGTCAAGCCAGGACAAACCAACCCTAAATGCACAGAGTTCCCCCAGGGAGTTAAAACGGACAGACCCGACCACACGCAGCCTCTCCCCGTATCTAAGACAAACGAGTCAGGGAAGGTGACATCTCTTTATTGGCTCAGTCTACACCAGGACCAGTGGCAGCCTCAGGTCCAGGTAGGTTCTGGCAAGGAGTCCCTGGACAGCCAGTGGAGGCAGCTTCAGCAACGACCTCCAGTGTTGGGGGACTGTGGGAGTAGCAGCACTGGTCCCCCCTTTGACAGGTGCCCTGGTGGGAGGATGACGGCCTCTGCTGGGCTCGTTTCCTGGATGTGGAGCTCACTCCCAGCCACTTGCCCTCCTGCCCGGACGGGAACTCCTCGGGGTGTGCCAAGGTTTGGGGTGGAAGGGTGCCTCACCTCCTTGAACTTCTTGCAGGGAAATGTCTTGAGCCGGGCAGCCCGCTGGGCCGGGTCCTCAGCTGGCTCTTTTCGCTTATTCTGGAGCAACCTGCATCTCTCCTCCACAGTCTGGCCTGATGCCTTGCCCCTGTACAGGGAGGTGAGTAGCTGGGACCCAAGTAGGTTTTGTGGCTCCCTGCCCCGGCCAAACCCCACCCCCACCACTCTCTCACCCTGGCCGGGCACGGGGCCGAGGGCCCCAGTTGGCCTGGGGATTGGTCTGGAAGCGCTTGAGTCCTCGCTGGCGGGAGCTGGGGTTGGCATCGTCCCGGATGGTGAAGTTAGCCTGCAGCCTGGGGAAGTAGGGGTATAGACTGAGGGGCAACAGCACACAGACATACACAGATGCCCACGGGGCCTGCCTACCCCAATGCAGCTCCATGTGCCTCAAGAAGACTGTGCCTCCTTGTGTCAGGATTCTTTCATGCATTTCATAAACATTTGAGTGTCTACTGTGTGCACAAAACCTGCCACTCGTATCAAGACAGACAAGTAGTGGGACAGATCAGAAATAAACAAATCACACTGGGTGGCGTGTGAGATAAAAGTTTGGGGAAAATCAGAGGAGGGTGAAGAGGACGGGGTGACTACACATGGGGCACAGTGCAAGACAGAGCGACCAGGGAAACCTGGAGGAGGTGAGGGAAGAGCTCTGGGGGGGATCCTCAGGGACCCCAGGCAGAGGGAACAGCCCACACAAAGGTCCTGAGGTGGGGCCATGCCTTGTGAGTTTGAATGACAAGGCCAGCATGGAATGAGGGACAGAGTGAGACAAAATGAAGGCAGGGAGGGGCTGGGGAGGAGGGACTGGAAAGGTGGGACTGGAGAGGTGGGACAGAACCTGCAGGTAGAGCTCTGGTTTTTACTGAGTGATGTGGGAGCCACGGAGTTCTGAGCTGAGGAGAGATGTGCTCCAACTGAGGTGCTCACGTGTGTCCTAGCATGCGGCTGTGTGGGGAAGCATGTGTGCTGTAGGCATACAAGTGAGCTCCCCGTGCCCTGTGGGCAGCTACGACTGTGCCTACACCCATACCCAGGCTCTGTGCTGAGAATGCGGAACGCTGGGCTGGCCTCTGACAGACGCTCCCGTTTCACTGGACACCCCTTCTCCTGGGAGGCAAAGGCCAGAGGTCAGGGGATGCTGGGACCGACCATGCCCTGCCCTCCCACCCCCATCTGCCCAGGCAGGCCCTCACCCAGCAACGCATGATGTCCCAGACAGCTGAGGAGGGGGCATCCGTCTTCACGGCGTTCTTACAGGCATGGGAAAGTGAGACCTGGAAGCCAGCATGGAGGAGGGCCGACCTGGGGACCAAGTGGGATTGTGAGGGTGAGGGCTGGACCGGAAGCCTGTGCTGACCTGCGTGGGTGTGAGCCATTGTCTCATGGACACAGCTGACTAGGAAGCCTGTGTGATTCCAGCAACTGTAATAGTAAGACTATCCCCCTGGCCAGGCTATCCACCTGAGCTCTGTTCTGTGCACTTGTGCACATGGTTTGACCTGCTTTATAGGGACCCAGGCTGAGAGGGGCACCCAGCATCCAGGCACAGGCTCCTCCTGCTCCCAGCCCCGGCCCGGCCTCACCGCAGCTGCAGGAGGCTGGGCGTGCTGCAGTGAATTGTGCTGCTCAGCTGGTCCAGCGTGTAGTAGAGGGGCACATCCGGGAGCTCCTGCAAGGGGGGTGGGATGGGCATGGAGTGGATGAAGGAAGGATGTCTGGGCACAGGTGGAGCCCCCTCCCTGTCACAGCTGGGTCCCACCTCGGTGATGACGCTCAGGACCCCACGGATCCGCTCCGAGGTATGGAAGCGGCCTGGGTTGGTGCTCACAGCCTCGAGGACACGACCCACAAAGTCCAGGTCATGGATGGCCTCTGCCCACAGGGGACCACCCAGCTGCAGACACACAGTGACCAGCTAGGCAGGGATCGAGATGGCCAGGACCCTTGTGGCCCCCTTACTTCTCCTGACCCAGCCCCACCTGGTGTCGCTGCCCACAGTGTTCACACTCAGGGGCCACGGGGGGACCACAGGCTGCAGAGAACTTGACCCTGCACAGAGACGGGTGGTTAGGGGATGGCAACCCCGGACACGTCCTTCACCTTCCTCCCCAGCTCACCCTTGCTCACCGGCCACCAGAGGCTCCTGATTTGCCCAGGCGCTGCAGATGGAAGGTCCCACAGCCCACACACTGAAACACCAGCGCCTGCTTGCTGTCAGGGGATGGGGTTGGGTGGGGGTGACTCCAGTCACCCACACCAAACTCCTCCCTGAGCTCAACTCCACCCCCATTTCTCCAGGGCAGGATCACGTGAGGATCTTGTGCCACCAGCACCCCACCCCACCCCACCCCAGCGCAAAGGCACTGTTACCTCCTCCCTTGGCCAATCACCCCTTCCTGCCCCCAGGCTAACCTGGCTGAGGCCTTGACCTTGGCCTGGCCGGTGAAGACTCGAACAAAAACACGCACATAGAAGTCAGCACTGATGCTGAGCAGCGGCACTACAAAGCGCTGGTAGCAGTTGGCTCGGAGGTCTAGGCTGTGCAGGACAATCCTCAGGGCCTGGGGATGGGGGCTGAGCCTCAGAGGGCTGCCTCCACTACCGCTCCCCTGTATCCCTGAGCCGCAGAAGGTGCTTCCAAGCATAGCCCTGGGTTCCAAGCCCAGCCCCAAACGTCCTGCTGTATGACCCTTGGCAAGTGAGTGCTTTAATTTCCTCATCTGTGAAATCAGGACAGTCTCTGTCTTTGTGGCCCTGCTTGGAGTATAACTGATTAAAGAATGCACAGGCCTGGCAAACTGAATCTATCTGGAGTAGCCTTCAGCATGCCCCAGGCTGTGCAGTGTGGTCCAAGGCCTGTGTTCTGGCCACTAGAGATGCAGAACTGCTGGGCCCTTCTTGCCGGGGGCTGCTGCAAAACTCTGACCCAGGAGAGGAAGCAGTGTTTCCCAGACTGACCTGAAGTCAGGGCCCTTAAGGAACTAGGACAACGCACCCCACTTTCCTAGCCTACCAACATAGCCAGTCCCTGCCATCCTGAATCCCCACACCAACTGAATGAGCTCTGGGCCATCATCAAACCCATTTCACAGATGCAAAAGCCAAGGCCCAGAAAGGTGAAATCCCTTGCCCAAAGCCACCAGCCAGGCTAGGACTTGAACGCAGGGCTGAACTCAGACCTGGAAAAATGGCCTTAATGAAAAGAAAAAAGAAAAAAAATTTTTTGAGAAGTTGTTATAATAGAGAATACTAGGAAGACTGAGGTAACACCCACTCCTACCCTAGGCAACACGCTGCCCCAGAAATGACCAGGATGGGCAACCCATGCTCTTAGGAACTACACTGGTTAAAGTCATGCTTGTCATGAATGTCCTGGGATGGATCTGGCCCCAAATGCCTGCAGGTAGCTGAGCAGGTCTGCAGGGTGGGAAGGGATGCTGGGGGTCCCCTCACCATCTCGTGGCAGGCCCGGCTCTTGAGGGCCATGGCCCCATACTTGCTGTAACACGTCTCTCCGCTATTCCCTGCCAGCACTGCCATGTCCGTGCAGGTGATGCACAACAGCCCTGTGGGGAGGGCCTGGGCAGTAAGGACCCCTCAAATGTGAGAAGCCCTGCTCAGTACCCCTGTGTCAGCCAGGCTTACCTCCTTCGCTTACAGCCTGCACAGCGGCATCTAGGAAGGGGGCAGGGCTACCATAGGGGTCCAGGTCGATGACATCAAACCGCTCCGACACCCTCTGGTGCTGGTACATCAGCAACCTGGGAGGGAGAGGGCCAGGTCCTCAGCCGCCTGCACATGCTCACTCATACAGTGTGATGTGTTTGGCTGCACTTGGCGGCCAGCTGCCCGGGCTCAGATCCTGGCTGGGCCATTTGCTCACTGCACAACTTTTCCACCTTGGGCCTCAGTCTACCCATTTCTGACGATGGCAGTAACAGCCAGTGCTGACACAGCACATATATACTTGATACGGTTTTGAGCAGTTTATAGAGATATTAACTTGTTTAATCTTAATCATCCGAACAACTCTGTGGACTTAGAGCCCTATTATTCCCTTTATAGGTAAGGAAATGCAAATAAATCTACCTTTTCAACGTAGCCTACCCTGACCGCATCATTGAAAATTGCAAGCCCACCCCTGCCACCTTCTTCTATCCCCCATAGCCTCTACTTTTTCTCAGAACCCTTTTCACTAGTTTCCTATATAATTTACTTACTCGTCATGGTTTTTTTGTTATAGTTTGTGTTTCCTGTTAGATCCTAACACAGCAGTGTAAATATCATTTATCTGCTTACTGTAAAGGGTCACACAGTAAATATTTTAGGCTTTATGGGCCACATAAGGTCGCTACCATGTATTGAGTTAAATTTAAAGTGGAAACCACAATGGTGCTTATTTCGTGACAGTCAGCATGGGCTATACAACCATTCTCTCTCACTTAATGGGTATAGCAACCCTTGTAAAACTAATGTCCTCATTTCAGTCAATGAAACCAGGGCTCAGAAAGGCTAAGGTACTCTCCCAAGGTGACAGAGCAAGAATGTGACAGAGCCAGGATTCGACCCCAGGTAGCCTAGTCCAGAATGCGGCTTCCAGCCACCAAGCTCTGCTGCCCTGGACCCACCGGGCATCCGCCTGGCTGGGCTGTACCAGGTGGGCCACACTGTTGAGCTGCACATTGTGGCGCATGAGATCCACGGCTTGGGCAGAGGCATCGTTGGCAACCACAGATCGGAGCCCAGGCACCTCTAGTGCGAAGCGAATGGAACGTAGGCCTGAGGCTGCCAGGCCTTCCAGCACTTGCAAGCCTTCCTGTGGGAATTAAGAAGGCAGTCCCACTCACATGGATATCTCTATGCTCCACTGCACCCCAAGAAGCACCCACCATCCACCTCCTATATCCTTCCCCCTCAGGAGCCTTCTTTTCTCGATTACCCACTAGATGCCAGGACTGCCACCTCCTATGCCCAGGCCCCACCTCACAGATCTCCCCAACAGCAGCTGTTCGAGGTTGGTCTCCTGAGGCCAGGCTTGCACCCTCTTTCAGTTCAGCCTTGTCCTCCTCTCGCTCTGACAAGTCCACGACCACCTTTTGCACGTCCTTCTCACCTGGCACCTTGACTGCAGCCACCCGGAAGCACAAGTCAGGGGATGTCACAGCACCCTATGAGAAACCTCCCCCTACTCTACAAAATACAGATGATTCATGGAAGAAAATATTCCCCCAAAGTCCCTGGGGAAAGGCTGAGGAAGCAGAGCCGAGGGCCTGCTGTGCAGCTGGAGCCTTTCTGGACTTTAGGGGGGGGGAGTGGGGCAGGAAGAGAGCTCTGTGTGGAGACAAAACGTCCACTTACTCTGGATTCCTTTGGCCCGGAGCTGAATGCGAGCAAACTCGGTGATCACCGCACATCTGCGGGAGACGAGGATCAGGTTACACCCGCTCATCCTCACAGACCCACTATCCTCTGCCAAGTTGACCCCGGGCCCCGTGCTCACGTCAGGTCCCGGTTGAACTCCTGCACCGGGTTGTAGAAGACTTCGTTGGCGCTGGGGAAGGCGATCTTCGCGGCCCCCTCGGTGACCGTCGTCTGCTGGGCCTCAGGTGGTCGCTCTTCTCCGCAGGACCCCGTACCATTCTCCATTGCGGCTGCACTCCGCGGCCCTTGGGGCTGCCCCTCCACAAATGGGGCTCTACAGAGATTGAGGGTGGAACGGAGAGTCAGGCTTAGCCAAGGAACGATCCTCGTTCGGGACATTCGTGGACACTTCGCCGCCCAAGCCTGGTTCGCGGTGCAGAGGAGGGCATAAGGAGACGATCAGAGAACTGCCTTCCGGGCTGGGTAGCCTATACATCTATAAAGCAGGGGCTAAGGAGACCCGGCCTCGTTAAGCTGACACCCCCCCCAACATCAGTCGGAGGACCGCCCCTGCGAAGTCGGAAGCTCTCGAGCGGGCCCTCCCCGGCTCCGGATCCCTCCACGCGCCGCCCAGGCCCTCCTCACCTTCTCTGGAGACACCGAATACCGAAGTAGTCTCGGTACACGTTTCCCAGATTAGGACCCGGGCGCAGCCATGTTGGCGCAGTTGGGGAGATCACGTGACAGAGTTTAGCCACTCCGTGAGGTGCCTACAGTAGGCGGCAGGGCTCAAACTGCCTGGCGGAAAGCGCTGGACGTGTTGCGCGGGTGGTCTCAAACACAGCAGCTCCCCAGGGAGGGGGGCTGTCAGTAACCCATTTCACGGATGAGGAAGGTGAGGCTCAGAAAAGGGGCGGTAAGCCGAGAAATACAACACTATTGATACGCTCCTGTGCGCGGGGTGCTGTAAACACATTATGTCGGGGTACCCTGAAGGAATAACTCAAGTCCTGAAATCAGATTCACTGCATTTGAATCTCATGCTCTTGGCCCATTACTTAAATTCTCTGGGCTTCACTTTATTTACCTATTAAATAAGAACCCGAGCTTTCGATACAGAGCAAAGTTTAAACAACAGAATGCCTATGCCTGGAAAGTGAGCAAAGCTGCCCCTCTCACGGAATAAACCCTTAATAGGTTCTAACAGATGTAGGAAAGGAAAGCCCGCCTTGCCTATCGTTCTTAACCCTCTCCGTGCCTGTTTCCCTATTTGCAAAAGCGGGCAGAACTTTTCAACTTTCGTTATTGGGTTGTGGGGAGTTTAAAACGAGTTGGTGCAGGTTAAATGCTTAGAACGGAATCTGGCATAGTGTAAGCATCATAAAATCTTTATCTTTTATTGTCTTTAAGCCTGGGTTTGATTCCTGGCACCCGCCACCACTTCACTTGCTGTGTGATCTTGGGTAGGTTTCTTCATCTCTCTGTGCCTCCCTTTCTATAGTAAATGTGTGTGTGTGTGTGTGTGTGTGTAACTTAAAAATGTTTCTACTTAAAAATGTTACTGTGACGTTTAAACGAGATAATTCCTACAGGGTCCTAAAACAGTGCCTGTCACAAGAAACAAGTCATTATATTCTTCGTTTTACAGGAAACGAAAGTCCCGAAAGGCAGAGCGACTTGCCCGAGGTCGCGGGACTAGAAGGTGGCGAGCAGGATTCGAATTCTCCACCAGAGTAGAGAGGTACCGGAGGGAGGCGGAGAGACAGAAGGAGGGGAGGAAGGTGGGAGGAAGGGGCGCGCTCGGCGCTCGGCGCTCGGCTGGACTCGTCTCGGGGGCGGGGCGGGGGCGGGGCCGCGGCCGTTTCTCCCGGCCTGGCTGCGGCGGCGCCGCTGCTTGCGCTCGTTCGGCGCTCGGCTGGGGCGGCCTGGCCCACAATGAATGGCCGCCGCGGCTGCCGCTACTGCTGAGGCGGAGGCCGCGGAGGCGGAGGCCGAGGCCCCGGCGCAGGGGGGCGCGCCCCGGGCCCAGGCCCGGCCCCAGCCGCCGCTGCGGAGCCCGCCGGGAGCGGCCACGGCGCAGGTGAGGCGGCCTGTCCCAGGCTCGGTTCCGGCCTCCTCTCGCCGGGACGGTCCGAGGGCATCCGAGGGCCGGTTGAGGATTGAAGCGGGAGGGCCGGGGAGTTGAGGCTCCTCCGACAGAGGAGCCAGGCCCGCAGCCTGCACTGTGTCTAGGCCGGCTGGTGCGGAAGGCCCGGCCCTCACGAGAGGCCTTCAGCGTCCAGACCCGGGGCCGGCCGGATCGGGCCCAGCCCTCCCCTCATTACCCGCGAGCGGGGCGCGAGGCCGCCCCAGGTCAGGTGCCGGGGGCGCCAGGGAAGTTGAAAGACCCAAAAAAACAGTGAAGAGGCGTCCGGGGAGGCCAGAGGGGGAGGGGGATGAGGAGTCGGGCTTTGGGCCGGCCGAGTGGGGGAGGAGGGCCGAGCGGCGCGGCCGGAGGGAAACGGCCCGGAGGCGGGGGCGGGGAGGGGCCAGGCCTGCAGGTACTGTCATTGCGCTGGAGGTGGTGGGTGGGTCAGGTTACAGGCCTGGGGGCGGCTGAGGAGAAGCCCTGGAAGTGGGGCAGGATGGGTGTGGGCGGAGTTAGTTCGGGTGGGGGCGGATAGGAGATCCCAGAGATGTTTGCAGGGGTCACGTGAGGTTAGGGCTCGCCGAGATGTGCGGCGGGGTGGGCGGGGGAGGCCGGGTACCGGGCGATCGGGTCGGTTGAGGACCAACTGTCCGGGGAGGCAGAGTCTGTGCGCTTCGCTAGTGGGGCTGTGGGGGCAGGTCCCGAGAAACTACTGTAATCAAAGGCACATGCCAGGGTGTGCGCACACGTCTCCCGGCAGGTGTTAGCTCCGGCCCGAACCCAGGGGGTTTCTCTTCCCACATCTAATCTCTGGCAGGCTCTGGGTCCTGGACCTACCTTTTGGACATGCCTCTGCCGGTTGTTCCAAGGCGCTGGCTGCTCAAGTGGGTGTCTGTGTGGGCAGCTTGGGAAATAGTCCGAAACGCCTAGCATCTTGTTTACCATGAGGGGTCGCCCTTGCCCCCCACCCCATTATTCTTTAGGGAGACACTGTGTGCTGTTACTTGAGGATCTTGGGGTTCTAGATTCTGTCCCTACTTTCTGTGACCAGAGCCTCGAAGCTCAAGCCTAGGGAATGGGACCACGCAGCCACCATCTTATAACATGGCCTCCTCAGGCACCAGTTCCTTAGAGATGAAGAACTGGGAAACGAGCATGTAAAGGTCTGTTCATTGTGTCTTGCTGTGTCTTGATGGGGTGAAGCCAGGACACTGAGAAAGGGATCGAGTCAGGGACCTAATCCAGGCCTTTGGGGCTGCTAGCCCTAGGGCTTTACTTTTGGGGTGATCTTCCTGGGCCATGCTCCGTGTTAAGCTTGATGGTCAGATGCTCTATTTGAATGCTCACTTCCACCTGGTCAGCTTATGTGTTCTCCATGGCATGAGTCACGGAAGCTGGAGCTCAGGGTTGCTTGTCCTGGGTCACACGACTAGGCAGTAGCAGTAGCAGACTGGGAGTGACTGACCCTACCCCCTTCCCCCCCAGTCTCCCGAGCTGGCCATTCAAGGAGCATGACTGGAGGAGCTCCCTACTGTTCCCGATTTCCCTGGTGGAAATTCTCTGCTGAGGACTTCCCCCTTGTCCATCCCAAGGGATGGATCAGGATCCATGTGGAGAGAATTTTCCTGGCATCCCTGGGGGCTGGAACAGTGAAGCTGCTTTCTCTGAGGCCTGGTCTCACCTCATCCCCTTTCTGGGAGCCAAGAGGTCAGGGGTCACCAAGCTGTGGGCTGGCAGGGGGAGACGGTTATGAGGATGGGGCCTGGCTCCCGAGCCAGATTTTGCTTTGCTTGCCCCATTTGTCTTCCAGAACACTTTGGTTCCTGGTTAGACTGCCCCAGCTTTTGTAGTTCTTTCTGGGCTAATTGCAAGTTTGTTAAAGCATGTGCCTGGGAAGAAGACTTGGGACCTTCCATATCTGAGGCAGGAATCAACAAACTGCTAGGCCAAGTGGTATCATCTAGATCCGGGTTGTCACCCTCTTTCCCTCCTTTCCCCTAGTCTCCCTGTAGTTCTAGAACTGCCCCCACCAGGACGCTGCTCTCCTCACCTCCCTGGCTGGCTGCCTGGTTCTGAGAAGGGTAGCATCCAGGCCAGCAGCCCCACTTGAAGTGGCCTTTCCCCTGCCTGGTTGGTGGGCCTCAGCAGGGCTCTGCGTTGGGTCAGAGAACAGGGGTGGCTACTTCTGGTCACATGGCTGAAATGGGTAGACACTGGTGGGAGCTGGCCATGGTGTTTGGATCCAGGCATGCTCCTGGAGCTGGAAGAGAAGGCATTCAATAACTACCTTTCTTTGAGGATAAGATGCATGAATCTGGGGCCCAAAGGAGGCCAGAATAACTGCAGAGGGTGGGGAGGGCAAGTGCAATAAGTAAAGGGACCCTTGGGACAGTTCTGTTTCCCTAGGGTGGGGACCCCCTGCTAGGGGATGGGGGGGGCAGCGCTGAATAACACATCATGAAGCTGCTCTCAGCAATGTCTTTTCTAGTGAAGGTGACCAACCTCAAGATCGTTTTTTATTTCCCTATTCATGAACTAATAAAACAAGGTGAAGTGGTAGTAAGTGCTGGCAGGGATGGAGAGTTCTGGATTGGGTGGTCAGGGAAGGCTTCCAGGGGAGCTGAGCTCTGAATAATAAGGAATAAGCCTGGCATAGGGGAGCTGGGCAGGGAGGGGTGAATATTGTAGGCAGAAGGGACAGCACATTGAAAGCCTTTATTGAGCATGTGCCAGGCTCTTGCTAAGTGCTCTAATCATCTTGTCTTCATGAGGAAAGAATTGGGGGGGATGCTATTGTGGAGACAAACACCCTTAGTGTCATTCACAGAAAAGAAACACCCAGGGTCTCCTGGATCCCCCACTGCTCCCAGATGAAAGACCAGACCCCTTGGCCTGCCTTCAGGGCCTGTTAAAATCTGGTGCCCTGGCCAGGCAGTGGGGTGCCCCAGCGAGCAGGCTGCAGGAAGAGCTGCGTTTTTGTTGGTCTAGCAGAACCCGTCATTGGGGTCAGCCTGGAAGCACAGGGTTTAGAGAGGTTGGGAGTTGGTCCAGCCAGGCCTGACTCGGAGTTCATCAGCGTCATTCCCAGAGCCCTTGATGGAGAGCCACAGGGCTTGAAGGCTTATGGAAGCGGTATTTGAGACGGCTCCCTCTCTTGGGCCCTTGCTACCCCTCCTCCCCCCAGCCCCTTTCTTCGTTTCCTCGGGCCAGTGAGGGGTGGCTGGGCGTGTGTGGTCATTGTACATCTCTTCCCCAGTTGCCTCCTTGTCAAGGTCTGGCATTCTTAGAGCCCCAGGGGCCCTCTGTGAGAACTGACTCTTCTCTGAATTAGGAAGAGGGTGGGTAAAGGAGAACAAACACCAGCTGAGAGAATCAGATTCCATGGTTGTTAGCTCCACCCTACTCTGCCATGAGACCCCAGGCAACAATCATGACCTCAGCGCCTCAGTTTCCTCCTCTGACAGGTGTGGACAAGCAGGAACATAACTGAACTGCAGTGCTTCTCAACAAGGAGGGATTCTGTGCACCTGCCCCCACCCCAGGAGAGACTTGGGAAATGTCTGGGGGCATTTCTGGGTGTCCCAGTGGGGGCTTAGGGTGCTGCTCACCATCCTAGAACATTCGGGGGCAGCCCCCCAACAATGATCCAGCTGTGGTGGCCGCAGATTCCTACTGTGTGGTTCTCCAGGAGAGGGTGGTGTCTGGGGTGTGATTGGATGATAGGGTGAAGTCTGGGTGGGGGGCCTCAGTAAGCCCTGCCCATTATCTCGTGGATGGAATAAGGTTCTGGAAGATGACAAGAGGCATAAGATGGCTCCGCCACTGCCAGAGAATTTACAGTCCTGTGAGGGGTCGGGGGGGCGGGGGGATGAGCAGAGGGAACGTAACTAATAACAGCTGGTGTTAAGCACCGGTCTACCTGTGTTATATGGTGGTTTAATCCTTGAAACAGCCTTTTGAGGTGGCTGCTGCTATTAGTCCATTTTACAGTTGGGAAGACTAGTGCAGGTGCTATAGGTGAATGTTTCCCTGAGTATAAAGGAAGAGAAGCATAATTCCAAACTGGAAGCTTTGTAGGGGGTGGTTGATCCTAGTAATAAGATTACAGTTATTCTTTATAATAAGATTCCGGTTCTCAGGCTCTGCCCAGGCTCTCTGGTCTCCAGCTGGCTTTGTGTTCACTGCATCAGTGTCACCTCAGGGCCTTTGCACTTGCCCTTCTCTCCTTTGCACAGCTGCAGCCCCTGTGTCCTGCCCAGCGGGAGTAGGTGTGGTGTGACTCAGGTGGGCTTGTGGTCAGAGTGGGAGGGGCCAGGGCCTTGGCTTCTTGCAGCACCCTCTGTGGAAGGAGCTGCCTCATGCAGAGGCCAGATTGCCAAGGGCTGCGAGGAGAGTAGGAGGAGAGGAAGGGAGGCAGCTGGCTAGACTGCTCATTCCCGGAGGTGGTGGGGAGGGGAGGAAGGGTGAAGAATTGCTGCTGGGAGGTGGGTGAGAGGGGGCTGGGCAAAGGAGGAAGGCCTCCCGTGGAGCGCCCCCCGCCCCCACGCAGGCAGCAGACCCCCCATTTCAGGAGAGGACACACCCAGTGAAGAGAAAGAGCTCTGGCTCTGACC